CCGGTCGCTAGTCACGGTGGTCGTTAGTTACAGGTTTTACTGTATTTTCAAATCCTAAGTGACATTCCAAATAATCAAATAAGGGATAAGCAGCAGCATTCGACCCTGTGCAGATTTGTCATCAAGCAACACGCCATAACAGCGGCAACGTGTTGAGGTCGGCTGGAGAGCGCCGCTCCGGTGGGGTGGTTGATGACAAATCTCACTGACATTCTACTCGTTAATCCCGGCAAGGGTTGCTGATAAGACCAGTTAGCCAGTTGACATGGTGCTGCTCAATGGAGAATGAAGCATGCCACGCTTGTATATAGTCTACAGGCATGGCGAACAAATAAGCACCTCAAATGTAGCATTGAGCACAGCCGGTTACAAAACAAAAACAAAAAACATGACCTGGTTTTAAGGAAACATTCCTGAAGATGGTGGGCCTTGCCCGAAAATCGGAAAATGTAATTCATTTTCAGTGACTATTGTATACCAGAGACCATTTGGAGAGTGTTCTGAGAATGTGTGATTGTCACACATTCTGGACATAATGGATGGCTACAGTGGAGCCTGGGCATCTGGGCATATTGAGAAATGACCTGGTTTGTTGCTTCAAATGGCGCCTAGTGCCCGGCAAGCAGGGTGCTGACCTGACAGACCCTATTCTGAAGCAGGGCAGTTATGCCCACTCTCTCTCTCCCCCCCCCCGTGATATTCTTTGCTCGCCATCTGAGTTCAATTTCCAAAGCGGATGTCAGGTGAACTTTTCTTGACGCATTAATATTCATCCATAACACGCACACACGCCCGCACGAACGCACACACGCAGGCATGCACGCACGCACCCCCCCCCCCCCCCACACACACACGTACACGCATGCACACAGACATGTATGTGCGTCAGTCCATGCATTAATCTTACTAGAGCACTCTGACCAATAGACTAGGGTTCTTGTGTGTACAATCTGTGTGTGTCGTATAGGTGACCGCTGGTGCAGCCCGGTGCATGGACCTGCAGTGTCGAGTAACCGGTGATCCTCCTCCAGCCATCACCTGGACGTTTCAAGACAACCCGCTGGAACTGACCGGTTGTAAGTACCGTGTTCTCCGAAGTATAAGTTGCACTTTCAACACCAGTAAATCACGCAGGAAAAGTCGGTGCGGGTCAAAATAACGTTGATACACAGGGTAGATGTCTGTATTTTGGGACAAACCCATCTAGGTCCAGCAGCACTCCAGTGCGGCCTATACTCTGGACAATACAGTACATATGTCTGGCAGGCATGGCGAATAACCAATCATTACCAATAAGACAAATTCACTATGGCATGCAGACACAGTAATAATTTATGTAATGCTACCACATGCCTACGCCAACCGTGGAATGTTTGGTTTTATCACATGACTGAATTTCGGATGTTCAAACAGATGCGAGATGTGTAGTGAGCCAATAATGATACTATGCATGTTTGGACATGGTGTTTACATAATTGTACACAATGCTAGAACTCTTCGTAAGTCGACCACTGCCATTCCGTCCACTTCATTATACGTTTGCCTGCCTGAAGGTTGCTGGTGATTGCAACACCTTTTGTATGGACATTACCGAATGCCATGCATTTGTTGCTTGCTCTTTCTTTCGCTTACAGCACGGTTTGAGTTGCTCAATGATGGCTCGCTTCGCGCCTGTGAGGTTCAGAGTCGGAAGTATGCTGGTCGTTATCGCTGTGATGCTACAAACATTTACGGCAGTGCTTGGAGAGAAGTCGCGGTGTCTCAGATACATCCAGGTATGCTGTAACGCACACATACTGCTCACAAACTTGAGTTTATAGTGCTCTCGGATTTAGTACCGGTTCGCTTATGCCCATGTCTTTCTCTCTCTCTCGCTCTCTCTCTCTGCTATTGGCGCGCCTGGTTGTGATGAAGCCGAGACCCAAGGTCAGCAGAGCATCCCAGACCACGCCACCACTCCCCTTATTCATGGCTCACACATGACGGGTTTACGTGGCTCTAGTAAAACAAAAACAAAACAAAAAAATGTGGCTCAAGCGCCTCCATAATGATGTATATTCTGGTGTTTGCAGTAATTTTTTTCTGACGTTCCCGTTTCAACTTCGAATATACTGTATTGACATACAAATAATATTATAAGATGCATCGAATATGCGTCAATGTATTTGACGCATATTATATTTTCGGCCATTTTTGGCCGAAAATTTGGTGCGGCCAAAATTTTGTTTTGCAAGGTTTAATGTCACAATGTAATACAGGCAGCAGCAGTACAGGCTCATGATGGAATACTTATTCCCTAATGATTGATTAATATGGTGGTAAAGACCCACCAGGCAATATGGCAGAAAATGCACCCCTGCCCACACACGCTCTCTAGGCTGCAAGGTTCTGTGAAATTTACATGCGGCCGACATGCGTTTTAGTCCTGGGAGGCCGAAATTTGAACGCGCGGAAGATGTGTAGACTTACATTAGGCAAGCAATCATTTCTATCGTTATTAAATGTTATCAAATATACCACTCTTTGGTCTAGAAAGAATACTTTTTGATATTACAATGAGGGTGAATAATCAACGGCTTGTCCACCAACTCTTCAATCATTCAGTGCTTTCCTTCTTTCTTGTTTCCCTTCCGCAGTATGGGAAGCTGTTGAGGATGGTTATCAACGACCTGAAGCACCTCCACTGGACCCCAACGCAGGCCAGCCACAAGTGCCTGAGGACACTGTTACAGCACCGGCTCCGGACCGTGGCACACCCGAGGAGCCCGCACCTGGTCCGGGACGTGGAGGCGATGGACCCGAGTCGAGGCCCAGCATCAAGCCAATCCCGGACGTGCGGAAATGGGTAATGTGACGCAACTCTATCATAGAGAAGAAAGGACTACACGGTTTGCAAGATACTTGTAGTTGTCCAATACTGGCAATAATAAGTTTGATATTGATGAGTCGTAACTTGTAATCCTTCGGTCCATTCTTCTCAATTTTAATTCTTGGCTCTTCATCCGAGTTTGACTCAATTATTGCAAGAAAAACTACAGATTTCAAACTCTTCACCATCATTAGCACTGAGAACTCAGGAAATCTCAGCACCTGTTTTCTGGCATTCTCTTCAAAACATTTCTGAGTCCTCATTGATGATGGTGGCGGTGAAGAGTTTGAAATTTGTAGTTTTTCTTGCAGTTGTATATCTCCGCAGGCGTGGGTTCAAATCCCACCGCCACCACAAGTGTTAGCTCCTCTAGCTAAACAGTTCCAATTCCAAGGCACTCTTAGAAGCCAGGCATCATGACAGGAAGTATTATTACAGAAGTATATTGAGGAAACTATTTTCGATATACTGTATTTTCACAAATTTTCAGTGTACTTTTATTTTCGATACTTTCGGTGCATCTGTTTCATACCTAAATTTTCAAAACGCCGAACAAACACCAACACACATAATCCAATAGGGAACTGCTTCTCTGCACCTACACTAATGTTTACCTAACCTGGCCTTTTGCCCTCAAACCCTAGAATATTGAGCAGCGAAAATATCTGAAATTAGAGTATGCTCTCAGTGTTGAACACCTACCAAAGGTGGTGCGCTAGCTGAGACAATATATTTTTGTCTTTGTTTCAGGTAACAATGCTGCCCAATGGTTGCATGAAGGTATGGTGTGAGGTCAGCGGCAATCCGGAAGCGTCGATTCTCTGGCGTAAGGATCAGGTGCGCATCGCGTTCAACACGCGTCTGTTCGCAGATTATCACCAGCTGCGCGACGGCTCTCTGCGTGTGTGCAACCTGCGCCCGTCCCGCCACAGCGGAACCTACCGATGCGACGCCAGCAACACTCTCGGCAGTGCCTATCGGCAAGTGACCATCTCCGAAGACCATCCCGGTGAGTTCAGAGAGTACAGGAAGATGCCAGCAGGCCTGCCATGAATGTCATCACGATATGTGTGACTAGTAGAATGCCAACAATGCGTTTAAGTTGAGTAACGGCCACAGCTTAAAATAATTCTGGAAAATTGTGCGAAAGGGAGGAGCAAGGTATAACAATCTTATAACATTGGTGCAGATGTGGATCTACAGACAAAAAAGAACTCAATAATTGATGATAACACTCAATCAAATTCCGAATTTCACTACTCAAGCTGACAAGTCAGGAGAGCGACTAGAGCCATTGCCTGCACACAAGCTGAGCTATCAGGAGTGATCTTTCATTTTCTCAGAGATATCCAGAAACTGGGATGGGACATTGTGCACAATTAAAAGTACCCTTTAAGGCTTGCGTGAGACTCTGTTAGAGGCCGAATTATCCGCATCCGTAGGAACGCCACCACCCTCTGTTGATCAAGGCACAGATGCAGCTCCTGAAGCACATATAGGTAGAGGTCCGCTGCAGCACGAGTTGTTGCGAGTACGACGGCGTCATCGGCAAACTCAAAAATCATCAGCATAACACACATGCACACACAGACACATGAACACATATGCACACACAGACACATGAACACATATGCACACACAGACACATACACACACAGACACATGCACATGAACACATATGCACACACAGACACATGAACACACATGCACACACAGACACATGAACACATATGCACACACAGACACATGAACACATATGCACACACAGACACATGCACACACAGACACATGCACACACAGACACATGCACACACAAACACATACACACACAGACACACATACACATGCACACAGAAACCAGTATGGATGTGACTGTTGTCTAGTATCACTAACCTGACAGCAGGTCGATGAGCATGCCATCGCGCTTCCACGTGATTGCCGGCTGCGGGTTGCCGTCAGCCTCGCAGACCAGCTTCACGCATCCGTTGGAAAGTCTGACCAGGTAATCGCCGTCCGTATGGTGCTTCAACAGCCGCGGTGATTGTCCTGCTACGTTACCAACGGTGGTCGTGGGGCCTGGAGCAGCATCGGTCACGTCTTGTCCGGTCACTTCTTCCGCTGGGGTTTCCGCGATGGCGGTAGTCGGTTCTTCCGTATCCGTGTCTCCGTCTTTGCTTTCAAACACTGGACGCGGACAGAGAGAACAAACAAGTACGAGGAGAGAGAAAGCTTCAAACTGTTAGGCCAGTCCTGTGTGTTATGTACGTTTGTTATAGGTAGCTGATACACTGCTTTCAATGTCCAGTACAGGGCATGATGCAGAAAAAGGGATTTTCGGTCTTTTATCACTTGGTGGTGGGTCTGATCTACTCACCTCCCACCGCTTTAGGAGCTGCATCTGTGCCTTGATCAACAGAGGGTGGTGGCGTTCCTACGGATGCGGATAATTCGGCCTCTAACAGAGTCTCACGCAAGCCTTAATGCTAAACTTCGATCTAGCATTAATGTTGGGAACTATCCCGCTTGTCTCGTAATTTCACTGTCGCTCTATGGCGCATTTGAAGTTGAGAAGAAGTAGCGACGACCCGGCCATTATGGAATCCAATTATATATGCCTCCACTGATGAGCTCAGGAGGAGCGAAACAGCTGTCTGGAGGGTCATTGTCAATTGCAATATATATACCGGAATTGTCCTCGCTGTGGTTATGGTGATGTGAGTGCAGAGTTTAGATCGGCCAAGAGCGCAATGTGGTGGTGTTGTATATCAGATTCCATAATGGCCGGGTCGTCTCTACTTCTTCTCAACTTAGGGCTATATTGACCGCTTATATTTGACTCCTTTTTAGCGATTGAACACATGCTTTGGTCAGTCGTGATAAATCTAATATTGACTTCGTACTTGGTCAGTATAGGAAATAAAAGACCTCGTAAAAGACCTCAGCTTCGCCTCGCTCTTTTACTCGGCTTTTATTTCCTATATTGACCTCGTACTCAGTCAATATTAGATAGTTCATGATGCACATCAATGCCCTGTACTGTAGTTTTATAGTTTTCTCTCTCCCCGGACCCTTGTATGATCTCTCTGCTTGCGTGCAGTGTTTGAAAGGAAAGGCGGAGACACGGATACGGAAGAGCCGACTACCGCCATCGTGGAAACCCCAGCGGAAGAAGTGACCGGACAAGACGTGACCAATGCTGCTCCAGGCCCCACGACCACCGTTGGCAACGTAGCAGGACAATCACCGCGGCTGCTGAAGCATCATACAGGCGGCGATTACCTGGTCAGGCTGCCCAACGGATGCGTGAAGCTGGTCTGCGAGGCTGATGGCAACCCGCAGCCGACCATCACGTGGAAGCGCGACGGCATGCTCATCGACCTGCTGTTCGACGTCGACTTCACGCCCTACATCGACGGCCTGCGAATCTGTAATTTCGCCCCGGAGAATCACGCCGGTGAGTACGAGTGCATTGCCGAGAACGAGTTTGGTCTGGCCGAGCGGCGCATTAACGTCGAGTTTGCGGCGTTCACCGCGGTTCCGCCTCGAAACACGGCCCCGACAACAGTGCCAGCCACCACTAGCCAGCAGCACATAACCAGTGTTCTTGATGAGCAGGCTACCTCCACGACAACACCACCGGAACAGGCGACAACGCAACCCCTGCCACAGCCACTGACGGACACCAGAACAAAAACGGATCAAGTAGAGACGACCGAGCAAGGAGTTGCTCCCACATTCGACCCCCAAGGAGTTGCTCCCACATTCGACTCCATCATCGACGATCAGCTGATTCGCGTCAGTGAAGACGGCTGTCTGTACCTGGAGTGCGATTCAACCGGAGATCCAGCGCCGATCATGTCTTGGCGCTTGGACAATGGTTTCATTGGAGTCGACGACATCAACATGTTCCGCATCCTAGACAAGGGATCGTTGAAGGTTTGCAATATCACAAGACAAAATATTGATCTGAAGCTGGGTCTGTATGTCTGTGATGCAGCCAATCACATAGGCTCCATCACAAGAACATTCCGAGTTACGTCGGAGCATCCAGGTTAGTCATACTAGACAACAGTCATATTCATACTTGTTTCTGTGTGTGCATGTGTCTGTGTGTATACGCGTCTGTGTGTGTGCATGTGTCTGTGTGTGCATAATTTATTATGTTTGTGTGTGCATGTGTCCATGTAAGCATGTATCTGCGTGTGCATAATAATGTCTGTGTGTATATGGGACATGTGTGTGTATCTGTATCTGCATGTGTCTGTGCACGCGTGTGTCTGTGTGTTCATGTGTCTGTGTGTATGTGTGTGTATGTGTCTGTGGGTGCATGTATATGTGTATGTATGCTAGTGAGGGGGTATTGTTTTACATGGGATCCATCTGTTTGTGTGTACCATGTACGTGGTCAACTACCAGCCTAGCTATCAAGAGCTGATTGCGTCGGCATCAGACCTCGACCCAAAGTTAACTGTAGTAGATTCAGTGAAAGCGGATAGCTTCACAGTGGCGTGTGTTTTATTATTTCCTTTTCCCACCTCCCAGTCCTCGTTGAAATACTTCGCCGGCAGGAGCTAACATCAGTAACACCGCCCACTGCAGTGACGCCAGGAACGGACAATGATATTGTTTATCCGGAAACCACACAGCCGGGACCGATGCTGGTCGAGAGTCCAGAACCGCGTAAGTACAGTCAACTTTGCGTATAGCGACACTCGGCGAGGCATCAGAAAAGTGTCCTTATTCGCGAAGTGTCGTTATACCCGAAGTCCCATTTTATGTATTCCAGTTGGATGTGACTTTGCTCTGGGCATGGAAATTCTGTCGTTATTCGCGAATTGTCGTTATATCCGCAGTCGTTATTAGCGAAGTTGACTGTAATGCTAAGTCTTGTAGGCCCTGCAGTAGTTCCTCTTGTAACAAGTGCACATGTACTGCTGCTAAGACATCCATACAGTACTGAAGTACAAGACACTCTGTACTCGCTATTCAGCTAATGTTTATGCAAAGGGATGCATGTCCCTCTTGTTTGTGCAAAGGGATGCATGTCCCTCTTGTTTGTGCAAAGGGATGCATGTCCCTCTTGTTTGTGCAAAGGGATGCCTGTCCCTCTTGTTTGTGCAAGGGGATGAATGACCCTCTTGTTTGTGGAAAGGTATGCCAGTATATAGACCAGAGGGACATAATCTGCTCTCTATTGAACTTGATTGAAAGCAGTTTTTTTCGTAACTATCCATGTATGCTCGTCGGGTGTATGGGAAATAATATTTTTTTGTATTAATGCCCACCACCACCATGTGTGCTGTTTTCCTAACCCGGTGGTCCTGCAGCCAATGTCGTCGAGGACATCCTGCGGCTGCGCAGCGAGAACAGTCGTCTTCAGTCGGACCTGGCCACGCAGCGACGTATGATGCAAGAGGCGGCGGCGCAGTACCGGGTGCTGCAGCGCCGGATGAGCATCATGGAGTCGGCACACCAAGCAGTGAATGAGCAGCTCAATGCAGCCAACAGGAAGCTCACGAGGGCAAGAGAAGACCTCGGAGGTAAGCTGGCCGAACTGCATGAAGCGGAATATTGAACGTAATAAATTTTGTTGACGCCATCTTCGTTTTGTCCATCAATCCATTAAACTGATGCTTGAAGTAGATATTCTTGTAACTAGACGAGACCACATGACGCTTGTCGACACAAGAACGAACATTCCACCAGCCTCACTCTACGATAGCTAGTAGTTATTCCGGACAAGTGTTGATTTGTTCCATGAGACGATGGTGGGAACTCATCAAAGGAGAAACAGTTGTTGAATGAAAGGAGCCAGGAGCTTGTCGTGAGCAAATGCAGTACTGTCGGTTGCCGGAGAAATGGAGTCTAGCCTCATAGCCTAGACCGTTCCTATGTTCATGCATTACAGCCTATGCACAGTTGAGTCACGTGGTACTAGTATACATTGGTATGCTGTGCTTGGTGAACGTCTGGCCCGGTCGTTCTTCAGTGCACGCCAGACCGTACTGTACTAGGTGTCGTGGAGTGTGGCGTGTGAACTGTTCGGGCTGATGTTTGCAAGCGCAACGTAGTCTCCTCTGGTCACAAGACAAATTTAAAAGAGCTGATGCATAATAGTTATTATACCCGAGTCACACGGCCCCAAATGTACAGTTCTCTCGTTTGTACTCTCTGCAGTGTGCCGATCTCGTGAAGCCACAATTCGTGAGCTCCTCACCACCAACAGTGCCTGAGTTGAAACCACGTGCGGCGCATAAAAGTGTAAGACGGCAATTACGCAGCATGTCGTGCGTACTTCTTGTGGCCTCGACCAACGACGCCACAGCGTTAAAGGAAGCGTCGTCGCCATAACCAAGGCAATGCCGCAGTACCAACGATTGCAAATTTATGTGTGTGAATGTGACGGAAAATGTGCGTATGTGTGTGACGGCAAACGTGCGTATGTGTGTGCTCGTGTAACGGTGTCTGCTTCTCCTGAACTGTGTGATTATGTGAGGAGAAAAACAGATGGATATGTAAAAAAAACGGCTTTTATCTTCGCTAGTGTTTTCTCTTTTTCCTTTTTTATGTAATGGTATCACTAATTCCTTGTACCGAAACTCCACACACAGCACAACCTATTGCTGTCACCGGCACTGTATTATCAATAGCTACACCACTCACACAAAAGTATTTTTTATGCTTACAGAGATGATCAAAGAAGGGTGAAAGTACAGCAGGTCCTCTTTTTTTTAATGAATTTTGGAAACAGATAATTACGTTAGTGCTGCTGTGATGGCCTGGCACGAGGTAAACGTGGATGCAGTGCTGGTGGTGCGCCGCACTCAGCCTCAGATCCTGAAAACAGGCACGGATGATGCACAGGCACACACGTGCACTGCAAGGATACACATCACTTGGTCCACCAGTGGCCCCATGCAAATACCCCCATAACTAAATAACGGACCATAACCGTCCCCATAAGTTACATATCCAATGCATGGAGAGTCCACTAAGCACGGCACAGTTCTCCGCGCAGATTGACAGGGACGTCGGAACCGGCGTGGCCAAAGAATCAACAACATTGATTTCTAGGGGTTTTTCGGAGCGATGAAACATGGGGTATTTGGAGCCAATTTTCCCAAATGTCCCCACCGCCTTTTAATAGCCGCACACTTGTAGAACATGTTCAGGTGTCCCTGATTGAGTATCCAATGCATGCATAACCAGCCAGATGAAAATAGTTTTGAATGTTAATATTATCAAGTCGTAGCTTATGTCCATGGAAATGACTGTGCTTTCTGTGTCTGCTAGAAGCCCACTTTTAGATCAAAACTGTTGAGCACTGTTGCGCAGTTCAAAAAAGTTGAAAACGAGAGAGCTTGGAAGCTCAGGGCCCTACGCTATGCTTTTTTGCCTTGATGACCTAGACAAAAAAAAGCATAGGGATGTTATAAATTCTTTAAAAAATTCATTTTTTTTTAAGACATAACCTGGGATTCGAACCCGCACTATCGCGCGCCCTGCATGCATCCCCCGATACACTTCGCATACATACTAATTCTTCCAAGTTGCTTCACATTGTGATCTTGCATTTGAAAGCCCTATTTGAATATGCATTGTGGCCAGCCGTCTTTGATGGTACGGTACGGTAGGGATAGGTATGGGACAGGTACGATCGAGGGTAATACGACACCGTCTCCCGTACCGTACCGTACCATCAAACACAGCTGGCCACATACAGCTGCCCGCAATATTCAAATAGGGCTTTCAAACGCAAGATCATAACGTGAAGCAACTTGGAAGAATGGGTATGAATGCGAAGTGTATGGGGGAATGCATGTAGGGCGATAGTGCGGGTTCGAATCCCAGGATATGCCTGAAAAAAAAATAGGAGAATTGAAAAATGTATAACATCCCTATGCTTTTTTGCCGTCAGATACGGGATAGCGCCAGGCGTGACACAAACAAACAAACAAACACACAAATACCAAATTAAAGCTGTGTGGACCCTGGCTACCGCCAGACGTTACTGAAGTAACGTCTTCTGCATAGCTACGGGAATAATAGTTGAATTTTAAATAGATATGTGTAATGGATCGATAATAAGAAAGGCTGGAGGTGAGGCATATTCATGTCCCTGGCAGGTGTATGCCTGTGAATGTGCATATGCATTATGCCTGTGTGTGTGCACACAGGCACACATACACATGTGTGCCCACCCAGGGGCGTAGCAGGCCGCAAAGCCGGACCACCTTTTTTTTAACAAAATGCGAAAAGGGCCCAGAATGCAGGATTTTGCATCCAATTTTCATAACTTTCACGGGGGAGACCTGAATCCCCCCTCCCCCCCCCCCCCCCCCCCTCTCCGGCCAGACCACCTCCAACAGCGGTGCGACACCCCTGGTATGTAACACATGCCCCCCCCCCCACCACACACACGCACACACACACACACACACACATGCACGCGTACACACACACACACGAAACGGCAAACAGATGTAGTGTCTCAAGTCCTGACGGATGAATCGTCGGAGAATGTAGCGCCACCTTCACCTTGCAAAGAACCTCGAGCACATGTTCATGTCCTGAATCGTCAGTTCCTATCCATTCCTTGGTGCTAGAAGTTTGTGTGATGTCATTCCGTAGTTCGATGGTGGCTGTACAATAGCACATGGCACAATGTACAAACAACAGAATTCATCAGTGACGGTGAAGTAGGGTTAATGCATCCGTAACCCAATGAAAATTAATTATTGTGAGCAGGCATGCTTTTTCCCTCAGCACTACAAATAGACCAATCCCGAAAAGATTGTCTGGGTTCGAAAGGGGGCATGTCACCTGAGAGTACACTGTACAACACATACATGGCACTACCTGATCAGCATGCGGCACAGGACGTGTTTGACAGTTTGCGTTTGAATGCGGGGGTAAGTACACGGTTTTCTCGTTAGTTGCATGCAAGAGAGACGATGCGACAGAAAGAAAAGCCCTTTGTAGTTTTCTCTCTCGCACTGGTAATGGTCTGCTGTTGGAGTTGAAATGCTAAGACATAATCCTTGTTTCGCTCTTCTGTGTAGTGTGAAGAGGTCAACGAACATATAGAGCTCACTTTGATGAAGTAGGCAAGGCTGTGAGCGCTGTGGCTCAAAGCGATAGGCCCTAAATCTTACGAGATATTTCGAGTGTTATTGTTTGTTGCGAGCGCTTCGTCTTCGATGAGTCCTGCCTCTTTCCTGGCAGCTGCCCTCCCAACCACGAAATGACTGTACTCATCTGCAGCCGATCAATGTTATATTGCACAAGAAGATATCATTTCACCAAGCCAGTGCCCCGCCAAAGACCATCGCTGTGTCACACCGTCGGAACGAGTTCATGATGAGAAACGTCATTCGCGCGAGCGTGATGAAGAACTATTTCGAAAGACAACATAGTCTTTACCCCCGGGACGACAACTATGTGCACGTCCTGCAAGGGGAGAATGTCACCAGCGACATCACCGAAGACGACGGCAGTATTTCGGAAACCTGGAGTCAGCGGAGGTCGTCAAGCTCCTCCGCGACCCGGTATATGTACAGTATAGGTGACAATCATGTCGACACGAGCGTGCGGAAACACAGCATACACTGTAGTAATGTTGCGAGAGTTTGCGGAAGGAGTCCAAGTCGGGAAATCCATCAGCTCCAAAAGCTACCTGTAGGTGGGCGATGAGACTCCAGCTTCAGACTACAACAGTCAGGACTTGTAAATAGTTGAACTTTGTGAAGCAGCAGATCGAGAAGTTAGCTGAAATCGTAGCTGTTGCAGTATGTCGGCGCTATGTAGCTTGCATTTTTTACGGAGAGTCGATCGCCACGCCAATGTTTCTCTCCTCACCGAGAGCTATCTGGCCTCCAAACTCCGTCAGGGTCTGCCTAAGGTACCGAAGGTCCTTTGACTAGGTGCTGGCAGGACTCTATCAAATCTTTTAGCTTCAGCTCGGCGAGCAAAAGTCTCTCTCTCCTCCGCCATGAGCTGACACACACAAACTGAATACAAAACGATGCACTTCACACGTGCTGGCTTGCACGCGTGCCCCCTTTCACGAGCCCAGACAATCTTTTCGGGATTGGTCTATTCACAACATACTTCAGTGCCATTTTTCGACGACGTTTTGGCAAATCACATAACGATGGTGGGGAATTTTCCAAACGGTCATTGAAACTGGCACTGAACGGAGTTGTGAGTTTGCAGTGCTGAGGGAAATAGCATGTCTGTTCCAAATCTCTCATCAAACAGGAGAACTGAGAATAATTGCCGGCTTTCGTAGAGCCTTAAAGACATGTAAAGCGTACGTGATCAAGAGAGCCATTGTCCAGTTCCTACAGTCGTTGGTGATAAGTGGGACATGAGGCCTACCTTTCTCCGCTTGTCTGTCTGCCAGGGCCGCAGGGCGTTGGGAACTGAACAAAAGAACAAGCAACACAACGACACATTAAACACCAAACCACACAATGCGGCACGAAGGAGAAATGTTCCGACACAGGTGACCCAAGTAACGCACAGGAACATTGTGTTGCTTTTTTTAATGCACCAGTGTGCGAATGTTTCTTTGAAATCCACGGGGAAAATATCTGACGGTGCTATCAAGCATGCACCTAGTCCTCACCACGCATCACCTGCATGGCATGAGCGACCTCACCACCACTCCGTCAAAGCAATGATCAACAACCCGAAATGAATTTGCACAGACCTGAGTACACGGCCATGTGATGTATAATCGACAGTGGCTTATATCCGGGCGGGGGGAGGGGGGGGGGGGCGGGGGGAGAGGGGATATACAGATCTACCCTTGTTAGTACAACGCTAGTTACAAGACATAACTCATTAGTAGACAACTATCCAAATCCACTGACGCCTGAACCGGGTACATGCAAGTCAGGGAAGGACATAATACTCTAAAAGCCATATAACGAAGTGCTAACTCTAACGAGTTAACGAGGGGAAATCTGTCGTCAAAATAGAAATCGTTATACAGAAATCGATACATATACTGTCCTATTGAGCGTTGAGAATGAGTGAGAATCGTTACCTTTGGTACACGTAAACTAGTCAATTTTGGGAAATCGTTATATATGCGCCTCGTTAAGGCAAAACATATGATACCGCGGGGTAGATCTTCAGTTTTTACCTATTCCACTTGAGGAGGCCATGCGATGGGTGTTGCTGCCGTAGCGAGAGATGGGCACCGTGTGGTCCCGATAGCGACTCAGCTCGTCGGGCGATCGAAACGAGACCGCCGTCAGACTGCGGTACTTGGGCTGACCCACGGCATCCGCCAGACTGCCGTAGTCCGTGCTCAACTCAGCCTTGTCCGAAATGTGTCCAGCCGTGAAATTGCTCTCATCTGTAGAGCAAACGCAGAATGTAGCAGGAGTGAAAAGCATGAGCAAACAAGGCCATACACGAAGGTCAACATTGGTAAGAAAACAAGGAAAAATTCAGCGAATATACCCATACACACACAATACAATACAATATGCCCTTCCGGAGATGATAGCAGGTCCTGAAGGGACCAACAGTGTTCAAGTCACAAGCAGAATCGACCGTGGTGAGTCAAGACACACATACACACACACACACACACACACACACACACACACACACACACACACACACACACACATCTGTTGTGGTACATCCGGTGGCTCGCTCTACGCGGAACCCATAGCAGGCAAGCATCACACCAAACCCACGATAAAACACTTACTGGCATGTGTGATCTTCTCCGGCAACTGCTGTAGGATCAAGTTCATGCTGGGATTCCACGTGCCGAAAACCTGCACAGTATCGTAAAAGAGAAATACAAAAATCCATGGCTCGCTTGAGACTCGGTTAGACTGAGTGTTCAGTATCTATAGTAACGCCATCACCCTGCAAAGATCTAAGGCGCAGATGCAGCTCCTAAAGCGTTGGGAGGTGAGTAGATCTGCCCACCGGGAAAGGCCGGGTCATTCAAAGACTGAAAATCACATTCGCTGCATCCATGAGTGCAATGAAATGACAGTTACGTCAACCGTGTGAATAACAACCCTTGATCGCGCAGAATAAGTGCGTTGTATTGCGCCCTTGGCGTTACTAGCTGGGTTGAAAGTATGCATGTCATCGAATGGTCACTTGGTCTGACGATTGTGTCCGTATTCATGAGTTGAAAGTATCCAGTCGAGTAATACTAGGTCTCAAGATTATGGCGTTATTGAGGTGCATGTATTGTGCACAAAGGCACACAATGAAAACCTTGGCAAGTTCCGTTGCGACTCAGAGTTTCGTGACTGACCCAATCATCAGACAACGAACTTGAGCCACAACGGAATTTGCCCAAAGTTTTCATTGTGTGCCTTTGTGTATGCCGCTCTGCCCGAATCCGGTATTGAGCACTTTCGCAGAACCCACTTGAAGTACCGTAAGCCTACTGTCTCTGTACATGTATTGTATTGTTGTAATATCCGAAGTCGGTATCCCTGAGGTTGACTCTATACACGCCGGGATACAATGAATATACAGTAGAACCTGTCAAGGCGACCACTCGGATAAGGCGACCACCTGTCCTAGAAGACCACTGAAACCAGGACCAAGGGATGCCATTTCCAGTCAAATGAACCTGGATAAGGAGACCACCTGGTAACAGAGACCACCTTTTGAAGGTCCCATGAGCGGCGGTCGTCTTAGACAGGTTTCACTGTAACAGTATCTATGGGATAAACAATCAAGGCCTGTGGAGGCAGCTCAAAGCGGAGTGCTCATTGCACAAACATGTCCAGAGCAGCATACACATACAGCCAGGAGTACATGAAACGCAGAGTCTGCAGCTTGCGACTTTTTCTCCATGGGTGTCTGTCACGGTGAAACTCCGGTATACCATCATATTTGGTGCGGATCTCAGGTGAGAAGTGGCGTAATACGTACAACTGAGCTTCAGCTGTGCAGAATGAGACCTGCTTGAAACCTGCCGGTACACACTACATCACCAAAATGATGACGTCACGGAATTTCGCCGTGACAGCAACCCATTAGTGCTGCATACTCTGGGTTTCAGGATTGTACTTCGAAGTATTCTAGCTACAACGGATGCGAAGTTACAGCCACACAGCCTTTCGCCTCCGTCGTGTGTGTGTGTGTGTGCGTGTGTGTGTGTGTGTGTGCGTGTGTTTGTGTGTGTGTGTGCGTGTGTTTGTGTGTATGTGTGTGTGTGTGTGTGTGTGTGTGTGTGTGTGTGTGTGTAACTATTGGATATGGAGAATACGTAGCAGCAACCTGGGCAGTAACTTTGAGAAATGTGTTGCGCACGCTGCGGTTCAGATCTCGCTGGCTCGCAAGGGTTGACGGTGCGATGCATTTCTCCGGTGCTCCGGATGCCAGTCGTGCCTGAAGTAAAGTTGGCGAGAAACATTCGAGCTCCGAACGTTGCTACTGTCGTGGACATTGAGACCTGATGGCATGACCGGGGCTTACTGCCAGTTACGTTTTGCTAGTAGCTTTGAGCTCTGCTCAGGGAATATAACCTAATAAGGTCGGAACAGCTAGCTATCAAGAGATTAATCAATCCCGTATACTGCAAAAAAACAATAAGAGGACGGAAAATGTGTTTTAACTCTGAGTTTCACGCACTAAGCGATCATCAGAAAACAGTTTGAGCAAGCTCTGCCCCTCGGTACTGAGCACTCTATTGGACAGCCTGGAAATTCGGAAAGACGTTTTCATGCGCTTTCATGGTAACAAACTTGGTTAGACTGCAATACTGGCCAACGCTCACTCGCATTTCAATCCCACAATGTTGATCAGCGGACCTGACAACTTCAATGCGTCTGTGCCACAGCGGTAGGGAGATCTCGGTGCAGGCTGAGTTGCAAGTACTTCAAGTAGGGAGGTCGCCTGCCCTCAACACGTAGGGGTACAAAGGGCATTCTATGTATTTTGACCGTGCATGTCAAGGTACATAGTTCCAGTGACACCAGCGAGTGCACCGCTGTACTGCCATGCATCGCTACAAGAGTACAGTCATAATGGGGTTATGTACTCTTGATGGTTAGCACACCAGTACTTGCCACAAAACATGTGCCCAGTAGGGTGGTTCTCTGGTCTGGTCGGGAGATGGCTAGAGAGACATTGATAGAGAAACTTTTACATCAACAAAATCGGCACATCTGCCGCATGATAGGGAGGTGTGGCACCACTGGATCAGAAGTTTGGACCAGAGTTGAAAATGAAATAAAATAATTCGTACAGGGTCGTAGTATAGTGTGCAGTGTATGTATGGCACACCTCGTCTGATCACTTACCGCATTATCCTTGTTGTACGGTTCCTGTGTAGCTAGGCCGAGCGGGTGCGGGTTGTGATGGCGATTCGGTGAGCTGGGCCGCTTGCGTCCGAACGCCTCGCCGGCGTTGCGCTGGTAGGATGGTCGCCACACGTAGTTGAACTGGTTCGTCGTGAACGTTCTCCGCCGTCGCTGAGCACCGGTCGCCTCCGCCGGAGCGCTCAATGAGCGCTGGCGCTGTGTCGACGGCGGTGAATGAACCCGCTGCTTCGATTCGTGAGGCATTTCGAAGCGTATGGCATGCAGTTGTTTATCTCCTTTTTGTCACCGCCATAGAATGAGTGGAGTCCTTAGTTGCAAGCTGTTTGCAAGCTGTAATTTGCGGACGGAAGTTTCCAAAATACACACTCCACTCTTTTTTCTAATGGACCACCATTCCGAAGCCGAAGGCTCCTCAAAGACAAAGTTCTCAGCTGTGTCAGACAGTCAGAGAGTCTCATTACATAGGGTGAGACTGTGTACTGGTTCCGCGAACTTCTGGATAAAACGACATTCACCTGTAGTAAAATTAATAGTACAGGTGCGGTCCTCTCTCGATGGAGAGCGCTGTATGTTGCGGCCACGGCGGATGATACGGAAGGGATACATGGAAGATGGGCGTGTGCACGCTTGCACCATGAAAGCGGAGAGTCGGAGACGACCGGCCGGGGAGAGCTGGTGCAGTCCCGCTCGATATGATTGTTTCTGTACAATCATGTCATTCAAGGAGATACGGAGTCGGACCCTGACCCTGATGTATCACGTGACGTGTGCCAGTCAAAGTGATAATAATAATAATTTTTGCAGATCGACCAGACGACCATGATGACACCGACCATCTCTACTACACCAGGCTGTCAGTAGGCCTTTCCGGATTATGTGTTTGCATATTTTTGCATTTTGGGGGTCAAAATGCATTTTGTCCATTTTGACCCACTTTGGGCCAGGGAGTCGTAAAATACCGGTATTTTACGACTCCCTGCAAGCGATAGGTACTTCATGATCACCATGAATGATCACCATGGTGCCAAATGTCACGCGACTAGCTGTCGCCATTTTGTTACCATGGCAACGGTGGCATTTTTTGTGCTTTTTGGGTAAATTTTTGCATTTTCTTTAGAAAAAAATTGATTTATAGGGGTTTTTCAAAACACTTTCCATTTCCATTTTAGACCAAGAAAAAACGCATAATCCGGAAAAGCCTAGCTGTCAGCCATGGTCAACACAACAGCGCTAGCGCGCAACACCATCGCCATCGGCATCGATGACTTTCTTGTGCATCATAATGCACGAATCTACGTGACCATGGTGACCCACAGTACTGTAGGCTGTTACCATGACTCCGTCCCGGTACAGCTGCTCGCATCACCGGTCGGGCGGTCCGTGGTCACCTACATGTACACGCGAGGACCGAAGCCGCGAAGGATCCCAGCCTCAGGCCCAGCGCACCAAGAGCCTGATTCCCTGGAGAGGCCATGGCATGAGCATAGCTCATTATGAGTAGCTCTTGGCGGATTATGCCGGCATAATATTTGGCATAATCTTGGGATTTCGTCAAAAAATTATGCTCCGGCATTATACGGATTCCAACGTGTAAGGTCGGCATAATCTTTCGGTTTAGACAAAAATTATGCTTAGGAGCATAATACAGCTTTTTCAGAAAGCCTGCAGATGTTTATTTTTTTAATACCCCAGTTACGACTCCTTGTCATAGCCCTTGGCGGATTATGCCGGCATAATATTTGGCATAATCTTGGGATTTCGACAAAAAATTATGCTCCGGCATTATACGGATTCCAACGTGTAAGGTCGGCATAATCTTTCGGTTTAGACAAAAATTATGCTTAGGAGCATAATACAGCTTTTTCAGAAAGCCTGCAGATGTTTATTTTTTTAATACCCCAGTTACGACTCCTTGTCATAGCCCTTGGCGGATTATGCCGGCATAATATTTGGCATAATCTTGGGATTTCGACAAAAAATTATGCTCCGGCATAATATACGGATTCCAACGTGTAAGGTCGGCATAATCTTTCGGTTTAGACAACATTTTATGCTTAGGGCATGGCCATGTGTGTATGCGTGGTTTCTCAATCCTCAATGTACAGCGTGAATACATAGTGGAACCGAGCATAATTCAGCATAATTCAGCATATTTGTTGGCATAATTGTGGCATAATCAAAAGCATAATTTGATGATTGGCCGAGCATAGTCCGCCAATGGCTAATTATGAGACACATGATCCTAGCCGTACATGACGATTTTACTCTTCAAGTTCAAGTAAGATGTAGCACTACCATACAACCATTGTACTCTTTATTCTGTCATGATTTGCCCTTTCCCGAGGACGCTTGCCACTTCTTTTCGCAACTTTATGTTGCTTTTGAAGAAATCGCAACTTTTTCTACTTCCTTCTGTTTCATAAAGTACTTCGCACCTTTTCCGCAACGTGAGCAGAGAGCCGCCCTGTAAGTAACTGTTTGTATTCGTACGCATAAGCTTGATCTGTGTAAGCAAAGAAGTCCATCGAACCTTCCACTCGGCAAACCTGCAAGAAAGCACCACTCCCTGCTCAATACACAGTGTTTCGGGGAATTCACCCCTCATCAGTTGAGCCTGCAGTGAGTAGGCTGAGAAAGATTGTGCCTGAAGAGCACCACTTATATAGTGCTCTCCAGGCCAAACTATCACCATTGCAGTGATACAAACTTACAGAGACGCTCCGTTTCCAGTGCGACAAACACCTCGTGAACACCAGAAAGCAGCGTAAGTCAGTGTCGCTCATGGAGGTGCTGAACAAACGCTGAGGACCGTAGGCCGTTCACAACGTTGGTGCCTCCAAACCATCTAGTGGGGGTGAATTCCCGGCAACACTGTGTATTGAGCAGGGAGTTGTGCTTTCTTGCAGGTTTGCCGAGTGGAAGGTTCGATGGACTTTTCGTGTGCTCTGGATGGCAGTCGTAAGTCAGTCAAGTGAGAATGCAGATCGGCAGGGAAATCACCAGCTCCCATGTAGGGGCAACACACAATTCCCCAAGTATCGCCGAAGTCGCACCAACCTCTTCTTCATGCACTGATAATCGTAGCGAGAAACTGTTCTAAAATATTTTTTTACTTTTAGTTTTACAATCGCTATGAAGAGTATGTATGCAGGAAAGGCGCGAGCTCCCATGTAGCGGCAACACACAATTCCACGATCATCAGTGAACGTACGTAATAATGGGTAGGATACTAACCAAGCAATTTTAGTATGATGGAACAAAGAGCGTGGCAAGAGGGAAAAAGAAAGAAATGGCTCTAACAATTGAGTCAAGTAATACGGATGACAATGGCATGCATAAAAAGCACTAGGAGACAATCAAAAGAGGGAGAGAAATCAGAATGCCGAAAAAGACAAAGTGTGAAAGAATCACGAGAACAATGAACAGTGGACAACAGTAACAAACACCAACACGTGAAGGGACGACGGCACAGTTTCTACGCAGATTGTGTTGCCGAACAAGCGTGCCGAATTTTCGGGTGCATTTTCGACCTCGCTCCAGCGTACCGAATATTTTGCCGAAATTCGGAATGCAAAACCTCACTACCCGCCAAGGCAAGGGCTACGAGTACATGTACATGTAGGTGACTACCGGCACCGTGTCATATAAAAATGCCCATGCACATGCAATGTTCTAGCCAAAAGGGGGGGGGGGGCGTGCCCCCTGTGAAAAGTGCGGCCCCTCTACTCATTTGTCGAATTTTGTGTTTTTTTCATGCCATTCAATGAAAATGCAGTCGAAAGTCACTACATTTACTACTACTAGAGGGTTCATAAAGGCACATTTGTCTGGGGTGAAGTCGGGGGTTCACCCTGTACGTTGCATGCTGCATGGCAAAAATGGGTTACGGGGTAACTATTTCCCATGCCCCCCCCCCCCTCCCCCCCTACTATTAATTAACCTGGCTAGAACCCTTTGCATGTACATGTACATGTATGCCCAGCCTGCTATGTTCAGCACTACGGTACTGCATTGCACTTACATGTACATTTGTACATGTACTGGGAGTTCAACATTGCCAAAAATTCCGCAACATCGAAAACGCAGCAAAACTCCCCGCATCATTATTATCAGCTTACAACTTAAGCGGGATTCACAGAAGCTTTTTTGCGATGCGACACGCGATGCGACGCGATCTGCGATGGATGCGTGCGATGCGAACTCGCGAAATACCATTCACAGAAGAAGTCAGCGATGCGACAAAGTTTTGCTGATTTGGGTACGTCACCATGATATTCGCGCGGTTTGACACAACTTGTAAAAATTTATAGGCAACTCTTGCACCTTTGTACAACTTTGCTGTAGAAAAGGTCAAAATCGTACACCAAATCGCTTGTCGCATCGCATCGCATCGCAAAAGTTGAGCCAAGCTCAACTTCTGCGATGGCCTGCGATGGCCCAGTTGCGGCAGTTGCGTGGGGTGCGACATGGCTGCGATTTGGGGTTTTCCCGGTTTCGCATCTGTCGCATCGCGTGTCGCATCGCAAAAAAGCTTCTGTGAATCCCGCTTAACTGGGGAGCGGAGAAAAGCGGAAAAAAGTCAAACGCTTGGTGCGCCGCATAAGGTAAACGTGTAAACGAAACATGCACCCCAAAGACTTTAGTTGAATTTGCAGATGAGAAACTGTATGTCTCAGGCCAAAATTATTGACACGAAAAGGATAGTTTTAGTTTTAGTGTAATTCCAGCATGCGACCGACCACCAATCGCACTCAGATCTTGGCCCCGTTACATGGAATATAAAAAAATTCATATCATTATCAGAAAGCCTGAACTCATACGCTTTGTAATAAAAAAATTCCGCAAAATCGGTAACAATTCCGGCACGTTCGGTCTCTCCGCCTTCTCCATGAAATAAAATATATAAAGACAGGACCTAGTAACTGAAAATCTACAAGCAACTGAAATTTCGAAAACTAATTTCACCGAAATAATTATATCAGTAAAATATTCTAAGCCCCACACCCTCGTGAAAATATTCCATTCTATGCATTCATAAAATGCTAGCAAAAGAAAAGTTTCACGTAACCCCATGGCTATAGGTAGGCATTCCGTAACGGGCATAGTAACCTGGTGTGGTCCTCTACAATTAGCTGTCTCTACTGTTTAGCCTACTCGATTATTAGTATTTTTCATTTACACATATTTAGTAGGGTAACGAACAAACATAACGTTGCTTTAATGTTGCAGATACTACTAAGAAAGAATGAATTTTGTGAGAAGCATAGTCCCTGGTCAGTGAGATGGAGAACGCACAATGCAAAAGAGAGTGTGAGAGAGACACAGAGAGACACACAGAGAGAAAGAGAGAGACAGAGAGAGAGAGAGAGAGAGAGAGAGAGAGAGAGAGAGAGAGAGAGAGAAATAGATAGATAGAGAGAGAGAGAGAGAGAGAGAGAGAGAGAGAGAGAGAGAGAGAGAGAGAGAGAGAGAGAGAGAGAGAGAGAGACAGAGAGAGAGAGACAGAGAGAGAGACGGAGAGACAGAGACACAGAGAGACAGAGATAAAGAGCGACCAGTACATTGCGTGATGTTCTTGACAGGGTTGCTGTGGAGAATGTGACCGCCGGGCAACTAGGTAGTAGATACAGGGTGAAGGGATGTTTTGTGAAGGGATGTTTTGACAGCAGATTCAGCAACTGACAAGCTATGATGGAGCAAACAGAGAATACCACATTGCCACGAACACGATCACATAATGGTGGACACCGGAGCCCAACATTGCTTGGATGCATTGACGTGCCCACACATACATACACATGCATGCGGCGCACGCACACACACACATACACACGCATGCGAGTGCACGCGCACACACACACCATTAACCATTTGACGCCCATCACCGGAGGCGATGATAGTGATGCTACAGCAGAAGCCATAGCAACTTGTGCTGGGATTGCACCATTCAACAGCTTGCAAGGTTGAAGAATTGACCGCCACACTATTCAGCCTGGTCTACACCACACAGCTATGAAGTGGCTTTTTCTGGCCAGTGAATCCCCACTTTTGGGGTGGGGGGCACACACACAGATGCATGCGCGCACACACACACACATACGCATACACACACGCATGTGCACATGCACACACACGCACACACCATTGGACGCCCACTACTATCATCGCCCATCGCCGAAGGCGATGATAGTGATGCTACAGCAGAAGCCATAGCAGCTTGTGCTGGGATTGCACCATTCAACAGCTTGCAAGGCTGAATAATAGACCGCCACTATTCAGCCTGGTCTACACCACACAGCTATGAAGTGGATTTTTCTGGCCAGTGAATCCCTACTTTTTGGTCTTTTTTATTTTTTTCCCCGCACACACAACACACCACATACTTCGGCATGCACTGGCTGTTGGTAACCACCCAGGAGAATGAAAGAAAAGTCAGGAGAAGTCTGAGAAAGAGAAGAAAGACGTGTGTGGCCATAATCGTCGGGAATCGAACCCGCAACCTCTCGATTCGAAATCGCTGCACATACCACTGCATCATATGGGACACACACACACACACACACACACACACACACACACACACACACACACACACACACACACACACACACACACACACATACACACACACACACACACACACACAAACACCGTCACACACACCTGCATCAACACACATGTACGCAATTGCACCGACACGCACAAGCACGTATGCACAGACCGGAAAGAGAACATGATGCCATCAAATAAGTTAAAGGGGAAGTCCGGTGAAAATTTTAAATTTCACAAGTCCGTAGAGTTCGGGGCGCTGAGTCGAATGGTCTTTGTCCGAGAAGGCTGCGGCCTGTGGTTCGTCAGATACGCCCAATCGAACATGTGCAAATTTGAGCGCGCATCACCCAGATCCAGGTGATGACCTCACAGCGGGCAGCCAGGTAGCCACACCATCTAGTTGTGTACAAAATGGCCATATTCGGAGCGCGTTCGATTGGGGAACCGTTTTTCGCAGCTTCTTCGGACCAAGACCATTCGATTCAGTGTCGCAAACACTACGTACCCTGTGATTTTCAGCTCGGTAAACCTTGAGGGTAAACCATATTTTAGCCGTTTCCGAGTTGGACTTTTCCCGTCCGCATGCACTGGCCTCTAGCTCTACGGCTCTAGCAATGCGCTGCGTGCATGCTAGCTGTAGTGTAGTCAACAAACTCATCACACACGGAACTACTCGCCGCACTGCCCTGCATGCTGGGGTAGCTACACCAAGACTCGAGTCACAAGACTCAGAAGAACTAGTCTACACACGCACTTTTCATGTACTGCACTCGTATCAAACTTAGAAGTTGCGACTTTGGCGGTAATGTCATGAAGTTGGTTGCTCCAACGAGGAGCACACGCTTCTTGCAAAAACTTGACACTTGACTGACTCAGTATATAAGTGGTGCTTTTCAGGCACAATCTTCCTCAGCCTACTCAAGCTCAACTGATGAGGGGTGAATTCCCCGAAACACTGTGTATTGAGCAGGGAGTGGTGCTTTCTTTCAGGTTTGCCGAGCGGAAGGTGCGACGTGCTCCTGGTGTGCTCCGGATGGCAGTCGTGAGTCAGTCAAGTGTCAAGTTCGGCAAGAAGCGTGTGCTCCTCGTTGGAGCAACCAACTTCATTACACTCGTATCAGTCGTATGTACACTCATGTTGTCAGAGAACGTGCGTTTCTCCTTGCCGGTGCTTGTGCTTTGAGAAAGAAAATTTTAGTTTTCCGCTCCAGTCCGGCCTCATTATTTTATGACACAGCGATGAGTGCACAACCGTGACAAGTGACAAAACAGAGAACAGTTCCTGGACCTAGAACTTTCAGATCCCGTTACGTAGCGTTGCCAGCGAAGAGTCGTGCCCGTGGTTCACGTCACCAATTGAGTAGTTCAAAATATGCCAAGTTCGCACCAAAACATCACCATGTGGCAGGCTACTGGAGTCTAAGCGAATCGGTATAGAACAAAATTTAGAGCACTCGTATCACTCTTCTCCATTTTGGCGACTCTGCTCTCCAGCGATCTGATAATTATATCAGCTTCGTCTGTCTGCTGCTGCTTCTTCATCAGTCGGAAACTCATGCAGTAGCGCTCACTCTTGATCGGCGCTCGCGGCCATTTATTCTGCAGAATACTGAAATTCTCAGCCCCAGACCGAACTCATGAAGGTCAGCCATAGCTGCATCCTCACTCTCACATGGAGTTACGTCTTCGGAGTCGCTTGCACCACCTACTATCGGTCGCCAAATCATTTGAAATAGCACTGACACTATTGCTTTCAGGCACTCCTTTTGACCTAGTTGCATGCTATGACGTTGCGGAGGGTGTGGTGCGGCCGCATGACGTCATGGCGCAGCCCCCGAAACTCAGTTTTTCAAACGGAAATATCTTGAGAACGCTTTGTCGGAGACACGTGAGACCAACACCATTCGACTCAGTGCCCGAAACTCTACCGACCCTGAAATTTAAATTTTTCACCGGATTTCCCCTTTAATTGCTGCACGCTTGACTTAGAGCATCTTTCCAGGCTGAGGAAAACGAGCATACAGTCAGACCTTGCTTAACCGCACATATCTGTTTTCAACAAAAAAATATCCGAATAGGCGAAGGAACCGGAAAACCTAACACTGGTTATGTTGGATGCACCTAGTATGCTGTAAATATGTAATCAGCTATGTTCTTCGGGATGGCGAGGGATCCGGATAAGCGAGGTCTGGCGGTATCAGTGAATTATGGAATCAAGCAAGAATACGAATGTGAGATAGCCTAATCACAGGCCGCCTCGAAGGCATGAAGGGCTGTGACGTAGGCTGATTGAACAAGAGTACGTGCGTTTTGATTACATTTCTGACGTGCACCCACGCTTGGAAACTCATAATGAACTTATAGAACATTTTCGCGCCGGGCTGTGATTGGCTGATGGAACATGAACAGGACTGTTGTCATTGGATTTGTGACCTGAACACACACTTCAATATTGCTATCGTACGTGTACTTGGAAGCACGACTCGACCTTTTTGATTAAAAACAAACAAAGAGCTAAACTGGTAAATCAAAGCGCTGCTGAGCAGGGGGATTGACAAAGAAGACAAGTCAAACATTTGCTTGCTTGTTGGGATAGCCAAAGGCCGCTGAGTGGGCAAGGCCGTCCCAGCCAGGGCGGCTGAGGCCGCCCCACTTTTTCGGCTGTTTTTTTTTGGAGCACACTACAACAAAGCGCGTTGATCGCAGCTCAGCGCAAACGTGGAAAATCCTGTCCCCGATCGTAGTTTCTTGCAGAATCAAAAGTCTTTCATTGCAGTTACACCGCAATGTGGCACCAAATGCCTGGAAATGCTTGCAATTGGCTTCAATTTTTGAATATTTTTCCCGGGGGAGGGTAATGTTTGTCCGCGATCGTGGCGTCTCCTTGGTTTGTTGAGAATCAAAAAGTCTTTCATTGTAGTTACCATACACTGAAATGGCACCAAATGCCCGGAAATGCTTGCAATTGGCTTCAATTTTGAAATTTTCCCCGCGGGACGACCCCCGGACCCCCTTCCATGGCCGCCCCACCTCCAAAGTCGGTGCGACGAGCCTGGTGAGTATGGGAATGAAGTATGCTTTGATCGCCTCGGTTAGGCCCTGCTTGGTGAAATGCAGTGGTTATTCATATATTTGTGCCCTTCGTCTTCTTTGTTCTCTTCTTCTCTTTTCTTCCTTTGTCTTCTGGTATCATGTCTAACATTGGGTGTGGCCCAAGTGAAGGCTAGGCGCGAAAAGGCTGATGATGATGATGGTGATGCGTTGCATTCAACTCTCTTGAGTTCTTATTTGCTTGTGTTCTGGTAACTTCTTGACTTGCTTCCTTCAATTGGTTCCATTCTTTGCCCGTAAAAGTGGCTTTCCATGATGAGGTGCAATGAAATTGGTAATTTCTGTGCCTTCAGTCACGACACATGTCAGAAAATATTTTTCAAGGATGAGAATTGAATGGTTTCATAATGGATGACATTCAATACATCGGGTGTCCGTTTGTGCCAAATGCCGATTTTTTTCGAAGGAGAAGCTGCCGCCCCTTGAACACTCAACTCCCCCCCCCCCTTAAAAAAGCCGGTGCAAAATGACCGGGGCGAAGTTAACGACGATGACAGGCATGGTGATGGTGACTATCAGAGTGGTGGTGACGAGTAGGTCAATGGCGGCTATCAGAATGCCGGAAAAAAACCAAGGCTATGGGTTATGTAACTCATTCAAACCGCTGCTTTTCAAAGCCACACGTCAATCCCGAGGAAGGGTGGTCTTAATGCGAGCACACACTCACTACCCCCCCCCCCCCCCACACACACACACACCTCAGACCTCAGACATGCCCATCGCGGAAGGGATGATAGCAAACAGCTATGTTAGACAACTTGTGCTGGGATTACACCATTCAACAGCTTGCAAGGCTGATGAATTGACCGCCACTAATTTTTAGCCTGGTATCCACCACACAGCTGATTGAAGCACCCCCACACACACATACACACCCCCACACACACACACACAAACACACACACACACACACACACAGAAACATTCTCACACACACAGACACACACACACACGCTACACCCACCTATTTCAATAATGTGAAAATACGAGTGCGGCATATACACCGAATACATGGTATATACTTGCCTATGTTTTGGGACAAAAATAGAGGACGCGGCTTGTACAGTACTCCGGGGAAATACGGCACGCAACCTACCGTTTACACACGGGCCCGCCGCGGCAGAAGCTGGTTCATCTTGTCGACCTTGTCGGGATATTTCCCCCAGTGCTTGATGACTTTGACCAGCTTGATGAAGCCAGCCTGTTCCTCGCTGCTCACGATTTCGATCAATTCTTCGTTGTGACCGGGCGTTCCATGTTGCCTCTCAGTCCTCGTCAAGGCACGTATCTGCTGCAGATCGGTGAAGAACCCGGCATCTTGCGCCTTGTTTCGAAATGTCGTCGCTGGTAGTTTTCGCAACCAAGGTAAAATTTCCTGGATGAAGGTACTGTGTTCGAATGGGTCGCCGTATGACGATTCGCCCTCATCTAAGCAAGACATACATGGGGGTAACACATGAACAAACACACCATAGCAAAGTAGGTCCGGCTGTTCCTATTGGTGATAACATCGCTAGGTTGTACAATTGCCATGTCCTATCACTCTAGTCTAGGACTGTACATCACCAGTGGCTGCTCGTACTATGTTCATACTGTAGTGCAGAGT